GCTCTCAGCCAGGCTGGTGGGGCATAAAGCTCAGCTCGGCTCTCATGGACTCAACCCAGGGTGGAGCCAGCTGCCAGCACAAAGCTGTATGTCAAGTTTAAAGTTTGGCTTACCAGTCAGAGAATGCTACAGGTGCCCAGTAAAGCAGGTCCAGTTAAAAAAAAAAGAAAGAAAGAAAGAAAGGAAGAAAGAAAGAAAGAAAGGAAGAAAGGAAGGAAGAAAGAAGGAAGGAAGGAAAAAACCCCTCTAAACAGGTTATGTTGTGTTTAAAAATGTGCCAAGGTGCTTAAGAAAGAAAAGAAATGGGTATAGACAGTCATAAGAAAAAATAAATAGTTCAAAAATATTAAGTAAAGTCTTTAAAGAGAGAGTAAAGTAATATAAAGGAAAAATACACTTAAAGATGGAAAATACACAAGGAGCCTGGATCCTGTATGGTGTTGTGCTGACTTTGAAGTTTTTGAATGATGATGAGTGAGTGACAGCTGAGAGACATGGGATTGGAAAAGAGACCATCAATTAAAATTGTAATTATAAAATTATCACCAATAAAACCCCCTATTATCAATCAATATAACCTCATATAAATATCCCTACTATCTGCTATCATGTGTTATCATCTTCTACTATCAGGACATTTCCCATGTGCCTGTCAATACTGTAATAATAATCCTCTAAGATCCACCATGATCATCCCAATAAACATCATCCATTGTCACTATCTCTCAATGTCACCTCACCTGAACACCTCTATTATCACCTACCATCTTGACTATTACTTACTGTCAGCTACCAGGAATATCCTATCATTCAAAATCATCAGTAATCACTATTCACCATCACCCACCTTAAACTCCCCCATCATTCACCATCATCATGTACCACCACCACCCAACATGAACCTCTTATGTTATCTATAATTATTGCTATCATTTACTGCCATCTACTATGAACACTCCATTGTGGTGATATTGTGTTCCCAAAAATATTGTGCACCCTAATAAACTTATCTGGGGTCAGAGAACAGAACAGCCACTAGATATAGAGGCCAGAAAATGGTGGCACACACGCCTTTAATCCTAGCATTCCAGAGACAGAGAGCTGTCTGGATCTTTGTGAGTTCAAAGCCACACTGGAAACAGCTAGGCATGGTAACAAGAGTCTTTAATCCCAGGAAGTGATGCCAGAAAGCAGAAATATATATAAGGCATGAAAACCAGGAACTAGAGCTGGTTAAGCTTTTAGGCTTTAGAGCAGCAATTCAGCTGAGAGCCACTCAGATGAGGACACAGAGGCTTCCAGTTTGAGGAAACAGGATCAGCTGAGGAAATGGTAAGGTGAGGTGGCTGTGGCTTGTTCTGCTTCTCTGATCTTCCAGCATTCACCCCAATACCTGGCTCCAGGTTTGTTATTATTAATAAGACTTTTAAGATTTGTGCTATACTCCATCCTCCAAAATCCTCCTCCTCCATCATTCACTTTCACCTATGAAGAACTCCTCTACCCATCATTCACTATCATCATCCACCAAGACCATCACTTACTGTGAACAGCTTCATCATCTACAACACCATCCATCATTATCCACCATCATTCACCATCATACATCATGAACATTCATATCCTATACCATGGTTCTTTATATCACCTTACTCTTTTACTAATGATCAGAGGATCTCTTTGTTGAACAGATGACATGAAAGTAGCCACAGTATCCTTTTAAACTATCTTTAGATAGTAAGGATTTACATAGTGCTTTGAAGTTTCAAATAATCTATTAGTCTCCCAATTTCAAAAGCTCCAGCCCTTGTAGAGAACATGATAAATAATGGTAACTAACACAGCTGTAGTTCTTACTGTATTTTGTAACACCATGATAATCAAGTTTTCTGTTGATTATTTCATCTGTACCTTACAATAACTCTGAGATATGTGTTATTATTTTTGCTGCATTATATGTTAAAAAGGCGGAGGTTGGAAAGTTTCATTAACTTGTTTAAATTTACATAGCCAGTGAATGATAGAGCTGATTTTGAACTCTGGATGTTCTATTTTCCATCCTGAAGTCTCCCATATAAATATGACTGAGACATTCTTTGTCTTGTAGGTATTCAAAACTATTACTTGAAAAAAAATTCCCGTATAACTATCTTTGTACAATCCCCTGAGACCATCTAAAACATTACAGCTACAAGTTGTCTGCAGATATATGCAATTTCCATCTGTTGTCTGATTGATCTCTTATCTTAATAGTCAAATTTAGGGGCATCTCTGAGTATTACACACAGTAAAATCAGTATTATTTGACCTAAAATAAATTTACTGTGATCTACACTAAGCCATTTTCTTCTTTTATCCTGATTTCTTTCTCCTCTACCTTCAAATCTCTCACTGAAGAATTTCAGTTTAGTACTTTGGCTTTTAACACACTCACATCCGTCCATCCATCCATCATCATCATTATCATTACCACCACCACTACCAGCAATTCCGTTTCTGTAATCTCTATCTGCTAGATAGTAAACCTCAAATGTATTTACTCCCATCTATCCCCATCTTCACCATTATAATTCATTCCAACCTGAGCACAGAACTTGTCAATAGTACCTGTCACTCTGTCTCCTGTTAAGAAGGTTTCCCAGTTCTCTACACAGAAGATTGATACTAAACATTTCAGCTTGGCATTTATGTTTTCCGTGTTACAACCATCCACCTACCTTTCAAACCTCATCTACTGCTTCATTCACAAAGCCACCCTCTGGATTGACAGATCACTGTTTACTGAGAACAGTGTGCTTTAGCCTCGAGGCCATGTACATGCTGCTCTCTGATTGGATAACCTCTCCTGCATCTGTTTCTAGAAACCTGACACTTTAGGTTCATCTCTAACATGGCCTCCTTTATAGCATCTTCTCTGATTATCTCAAAGGGACAAGTTTATCCTCTCAAAGTTCTTGAGTGCTCCCTCCTTGCCTTACCCCATTTATTTATTTTTTAAAATAGTGACCTCTGTGTATATATACTCTTCTTTAAAAGAAAATAAATTCTTTTAAAGCAGAAGCTGGTGTACTTTGTCTAAAACAAATACAATACTTGTCTTCTAGAGATATCATAAATATTAAAGCTCATAAGTGTATCCAACTTACTAGAACTTGTTGCATTATGAAAATGTACTAAAGAGATATTGCTAAAAAGATATAAACAGCACGAAGGTAAGAGGGACAGACCACACGTTTTGGTCCAGAGTTTAGTTCATTATGTTTGTACCTAATCAGCAAAAGTTAAGTGTTGGAATTCATGTAATCCTCATAGGATCATAGCCAGTGGATACTTTCAAACTGACAGTTATACTGAAGGATTTATAAAATTCTTGATCTTGGCTATGAAGGAGGATAAGATGAAAAATTCAACCTATTTGCATCCAGTTCATCTGTCATGCAATCTATGTACATAAAAATAAATTTAAAAAGATTTTTCTTTTCTTTTTACTCGTGTGTGTGTGTGTGTGTGTGTGTGTGTGTGTGTGTGTGTGAGAGAGAGAGAGAGAGAGAGAGAGAGAGAGAGAGAGAGAGAGAGAGAGAGAGAGAGAGAGAGAGAATCTACATGTGTGTACAGTTATGTGTGTGGATACCCTTGGGGGCTGCAAGAGGGTGTCAAATCCCCTGGAGCTAGAGTTATAGGTGGTCATGAGCTGCCTGATGTGGGTGATGGGAACTGAACCTATAGTCCCCTGCAAGAACAGTATGCACTCTTTATGGCTGAGGAGTCTCTCCAGTCCTTGACATTTTAGAACAATTAGTTACTTATTTTATGTGCATAGATATTTAGTCTGCATGTATGTCTCTGTACTGCACACACATCTGGTGTCCACACACGCCAGAAGAGGAGGTTGAATACCTCAGGAGTGGAGCTGCCATGTGGGTGTTGAGAAGCAAATCCCAGTTCTCTGAAAGAGCAGCCAGTGCCATCTCTCCAGCCTCAGACTTTGAATTCTTAAAATTTTCCTTTCCCCATTCCCCTTCCTCTCTCTCCCCTTTCTTTCTCCATCTTTCTTCTCTCCTGATATACTAATTAATTTTGTGTTAATTTGGAATATGATTATTTGGACAAGAAGTAAAACAGATTGTTCGAGGATATACCAAATCTGGTCTTGAGAGAAGAAAATCGTTGAGAAAGGCCAAGAAGAGGCTTTGGTGGAGAAGCGTGGATCTAGTTGCTAGAGCAGAGAAATGTAACTGTAGTGCAAATACCAGTGAATTAGTGCTGTAACAAAAATATATTGGTTGACAATGTACTTTTCAAGAAAGTAGTCCACTTGTCTTATACAATGTTCATTCATTACCCTGGTGTGATGAAAGGGTTTTGATAGAAGGGTAATTCATTACGAATAGAAGATGACTTGTACTGAGAGTAATAACATTCAAGGTTGTTAAAGAAATTACCTGTTGGGAATTGAACTACCTTTAATAGCTATTCACTTATTTTTGTACTTTTGATCCACTCATGCATCCATTCATCCTCTCACCCACTCATAGACCAGAGAGTCCTGGAGGTGCATACTTATTAACTCTGTATAACAGATGAGGTGATAGAAGAGGAGGTACAGAGAGAAGGCAAGTCCAAGCTCATGCAGCGAGTTTCTTGCTGTATCTGTCACTAGATTCTCCTGATGCTTGTCTGGCCTGTTTCTTCTTGGGAGGTGGTTTTTTGTTTGTTTGTTTGTTCTTGAGACAGGGTTTCTCTGTGTAGCTTTGGAGACTGTCCTGGGTCTCTGTAGACCAGGCTGGCCTCAAACTCACAGCGATCCACCTGCCTCCTGAGTGCTGGGATTAAAGGTGTGAGCCACCACCACCAGGCCTTGGGAGTTCTCTTGCCAGTTGCCAACCATCTTTATAGTCTTTTATATTGACTGACAAAAAGCAGTGAAATGATACCCTTTTTGTGTATAAGGCCATAATTAATCATTATTCTATGCTGAGCATGGAGCACATGGGACTCACTGTTCACGAAGACGGCGAACCTCAGGAAGGACAGGTAACGTTCCCCTTCAATGGGGTTCCAGCCAACATCAGGGTATCCTTTGGCCAGAAGCATGGGGCAGCTCTGAAGGCCACAACCCGCCAAGTAGGTTACCACCTGCCAAGAACAGTACAAAAGTGAATGTCCATGTACACCCAGTAGGATGGCTGCTGCATTAAAAAATGCAAATAAACAGAAAATAAAAAGAAAATAAGTTTCAATAAAGAAAACTTGGATCCTCTTGAGTAAGCCCTGGTGAAAAGAATGGAAACTAGCCACCATGGAAAACAGGATAGTTGTTTTTTTTTTTTAAAAATAATAAAACAAATAGGATTACCATATGATCCAGAAATTTCATTCCTGGCTCTATACACAAAACTTACAAATAAGGTCTTGAAAGAATTACAATCCAAATTCTGAGCAACATTGTTCCTAACTACTAAAAATATAGAAGCAACCTAAGTATCTCTCAAAGGATAATTGGGTAAGAAAAATATGGCATATGCAGATAATACACTATAATCAGCCTTAAAGAGGAAGGGACTTCTCATAGGCTAGGTCCACATATTGGGTGATCCTTGAGGATACATTAAGTGAAATAAGTCAGCCATGCAAAGCAAGTACTGTGTGGCTTTAACACATATGAGATAGCAAGAGCAGTCAAAACCATATCGGCAAAAAGAAAAATGGCAGTTGCCAGGGCCTGCAGGGAGGAAGGAATAGGGATTACTGTTAAATGGGCAGAGTTTTGCCTGATGAGATGGAAGGAGCTATGGAGATGAACGTGGTACTGATCATGAAATATCATCAAAAGCTTCAGTGACTCTGAGCTGTACACTTGAAAATGGTGAGGAGAGTAAATTTTGTGCATTTTATCACAATAAAAATAGAAAACCCCCATGCATTTAAGGCCAAGAGATATGCTAAAATGCCTCTTAAGACAGCCATGAGAGCTGCATTTCTAGGAACTGGACGTTCCTTCTTTCTAGAAGCTAGAGAGAGCCTGGATATTTTTAACCTTCCCCTGCCAAATAATTATATACTTTTTCTTATTTGGGCCCTTTTGCTCTAGAAACAGGATCAAGGGTCCAAGTGCAGTAAGACTCCTCTCCCCCAACTTCTTTGGGGGTATTTAATTTAGTAGATTTGGAACCAGAACTTCCAGTCCACATTTGCTTGCAAGTAATCAAAAAGATTATGATCAGGTTCCAGGTTTCTCCAACTCCAGAAAGAAGAAGTTGACAAGTGTGTAAGCTGGTGTGGTGGCACATGCCTACAATCTCAGCACTCTGGAGTGGGAGGCAGAAGGATCAGGAATTCAAGGTACACAGACAGCGTGAAGGTAGCCTAGTTCTACATGAGGTCTTGCGTTTTAAGCTTTTTATTATTTATTTATTTTTAGGCCGAATAGTTTATTTGTAAGCATATAAGCATTTGGAAAGGTACAGAGACACGAGAGAGCCCCTTGTGGCACCAAGGCTGGCCGTGTTTCCTTGACCATGGTGATACATGGTCTTTGAGTGGCACTTGGTAATCAGGGGTCCTACTCAAGCGCTTAATCAACAACAGCCATTTAACGTCAAAGGCCAAGATGCTAAGGTTGGGACTGCCAAAAAGAGGCAAGACAAAAATTAGATTGGCAGTGGTCTCTTTGCTTCTAGACTGCCAGACACAGATCGTGAATCTCAGGCTGTGAGCTCACAAGACTCAGATTTTACCCACTTTCACCAGAAATCAAGGACAAATACCAGCAAACCAACCGCTACTTAAGATTGAATTGCTACTCTGTTTTTGACTTTGGTATTTTGTGTATATGTGGAGAATAAGAAAATTTTGCTAACTCTCATAACAGAGGGGTGTGTGTGTGTGTGTGTGTGTGTGTGTGTGTGTGTGTGTGATGTGGTCTGTGTGTGGTATGTGATGTGGTTGGGGTGTGTGTGTATGTGTGTGTGGTGGCGGTGGTGTGTACGTTTGTGTATGTGATATATGGCATGTGTATGTGTGTGGTGTGTGTGTGTGTGTGTGTGTGTGTGTGTGTGTGTGTGTGTGTGGTGTGTATATGTGCATTTGTAAGGCACACAGGTATAAAGAGGCCTATGTGAGGGAAGGGAGAGAGCAGAGATGGAAGAAGAGGGGACCAGAGGAGAAGGTAATGGACTATACATGTCATGGAAGCAGGATGGGTATCTATGTGGGAGGGGGAAGGAGACCAGCAAGAGGGGGGACAAAAAAGAACCAATACAATCACACACAAACACACACGCAAAATGAAACACATTTCTTTATATGGTAACAAAGAAAATTCATTAAAATAAAGATCCTTTTCCTGACTTGGCTTTTACCTTAGTGATATATTAGGGATTTAATTAGATTCAACAGCAATGCCTACTGATTTGACAAAGTGATTAAAATTTTACTTATATTTTGTCCTTTCCTAAAATATTATCACTTAAAAATATCTCCTGGATGTTGCAAAAGACCCCAAAGAACTAAATGAAATGAATAGCTCAAAGACATCCTCTGCTAATTGTTTCATCCTGAATTTATACACTGAAACTCTAAGCTCCAGCATATCAGAATGTCACTGTGATAAGGTGGAGGAAAGGCCTGTGAAGAAGACACTAAGGAGAAAGGGGTCTTCTAGGGTGGTGTCCTTATCAAAGGGAGAAACACAGCTGTGCAAAGATACAACAGGGATGCTTCTGCAGAAGACAGTTCCTGTGGGACCCAGCAAGGAGGTAGCCATCTGTAAACCAGGAAAGGGGCCTCAGGGGAACTGAAAGCTGACAGCCCTTGGCCTTGGCTTCCCAGACTGGAGAACTGAGACATTTCACTTCTGATATTTAAGTCACCCCATCTGTGGACACGTGTTCTAGAGGCCCCAGAAGATGAATATACCCTTACACCACAAAGTAAGTGTGCCCAGTCAGAAACAAGTGACACAGACAGGCATGTAGTCTGCCTGCTTCATGATGGACCCTCCTTTATTATTGGTTAAATACATCTGAAACAGCGTCCTAACACAGAACTTCAGGAGATTATTAGTGGGTAATTATCATCTCATCTTAACAGACTGGACATGGTTCTGCAGCTTGGGCCGACTATTCTCTGCCCTGGCTGTGCCAACAGGGTCTTCAGAACTGGTGACATTGTGACATCGTCTACCTGTCTGTGTGGCACTTCAGATAGATGGGGCATCACCGTCAAGATAACTTAATCATACCATACTACTTCCCCCTTGTCTGCCTTCTCAACCCAAGTTCTTTGAGCCTTCTTATACTATTTGGAAGGAACAAAGGAAAATGTATTTAAAAATAATTTTTACCTCAGCCTCACAGATATATTTCCTAGGGTCTCCTCATCCCTCTTTGGCTGTTCTTCCTGTTGTTTAGTTGTTGATTTTTTTTTCTGTGACTCCCTGGGTGGTAGTGGTCTTCAGGGCTCTGACCCATCCTTGCAAGAATCTCACCTACCCAGAGGGTTTCAGTCTCCCTCCATGATCTGTCTGCAGCTGAGAAAACCCTCCTGAGCTTTAAGTATGCAGTCAGCTCCCCAGTTGACATTTCCATCTGGGAACCTCAGGACACCTCTGTGCCACCTCCCGAACTTACAGGAGTGTCTTAACAATTTTACACCAGAATATGACATTGTTATTTGTAAAGTATATGCTCAAGAGCTATGCAATTGAGTTACAAACATGCAAAAACAAAATTTCATCATATTGTAAGTTTCTCAAGTGTCGTGTTGGACTGCATCCACACCCCTCCTTGGCTGCATGTGACCTTTAGGGTGTAGGTTGGGCATGTCTGCAAGTGAACCAAAGCAATATTTGATTAATGGTTGCTATTTGTCTTCCCCAGGTCTTCTGGATTCAAACACTTCTCACATCTGCTTGTGTCAATATTAACTGAAGTCAGCACCCACTCATGCTTGGATTACTGAAGATAACTCTTAGCAACTCTTCTTGCCCCAGCTCTTGTAAGAGCTATTCCAGTCAATTTCCTTATGCAACCTTCTAAACCACACAACATATTGTGTTGCTCCCCTGCTGGGGGCCTTTGTGGTTTCTGTTACTCATGGTTCTCCAGTGAGGTACTGTAATATAATTGGAATGAGCATCAGCTCTTGAGCCAAATTCTGATCCACTTACCTTGTGGCACTGAGGACAAGGTCTACTCCTTACACCTCCATTTCCTTGCTCATAACTTCTGAGCAACAACAATAATAAAAATGACGTGTTCTGAGGGTCACATGAGTTAACTTGTGGGCAGCACTCGGAGTGTGGTCTGCTAGACAGATCTCGTACGAGCATGAACTTCTATTATTAATAAAGTCCAATTTCTGACCACTCCCATCACCTTCCTCCCCATGCTCTCAATGCTTCTTCCATGCTTGGCTTTCTGACTGTCCTAGACGTGGGCTTTCCTGGCTGAGCCTTAAACAGTCCTGGCAAATTTCCCCAGCAGTGCAGCTGACTAGCTTCTGCTCATCCCTCAGCTGTCCCTTTCCTAAGTGACAGCTCTTTTCCCTCATGCTCTCAAACCCACTCACTGTAGAGTGCGGGTGGCCTTTGACTTTTCCCACTCCTTGCCCACCTCTTTTTTTCTTCTTCACACTTAGAACGCAGATTGTGAATCTCATCAGCTATCCAGTCAAGCAAATAGTTCCATGAGTGGCATGGTGGAAAAACTTCCAATTGAATACTTACCAAAGTCCCACCCTGGCCCACTCTGGTCATTTTCTTTGCTATAAACGTTGAACATCCTAATGATTAATTCTTAATGCAGCCCCGCTCGGGAAGTTGAGTACAGAAAACTCGGTATCAAGCATGGAGCACTTTCTAAAGTGGTTATTTTAAGTCACAGAGCACTGCAACTTTATCAACCGTGGGCAGATCGGCCTGGTATTCACCATCCCAGTAGGGGGCAGCAGTGTGCACGTGGCCAGCACGACGATTTTTACAACCTCCTGTTAGATCTCTTTCATATGTGGACTCATGAATTAGATCACACAGAACTTTTCTTTAGGAACCACAGGGATCCAGTGATATTCCATATAGAACAGTGTCATGGGGCCTCCACCTCTGAAGAAAACAAATGCCACACTCTCACGTCTAAGACGCTGATTTTTTTCGCTCATACGTGATCCTTGGGGCCTAACCAGGTGGTGCCAGCCACTCATATTATACCACATTTTCACTGTGAAATGGGTCTGAATGGAAACCTAGGTGATGGCTTGTTTTTCCTCTGTGTGGCTGTAACAGAGTTAGGAGAAAAATAACATGTTGTCTCCCCAGTTACCTTCTCAAGATCCGGTTCTTCTAAGCCCAGCGCTAACTCGTTGTTGTCCATCACAGAGGAGGCAGCCACATCCAGCGGGGTGGACCCCCTCATCGATGGGGAGGCTGAGGATGGAGCAAAAAGAAGCTTAAGGCCACCCAGCTCGGATTTAAGGGTGCAGTGCACATATGTGGACAGGAGAGGGCAGCAAATACACTGAAACCTGGCCCACGACGCAATTCTCGGAGAGGGCCGCCAGCCCGACTTTAAAGGAGTCCTGTTCTCCTTTCTCACATTCATTACTACTGAGAATACTAATTATAACAAAATCACGCTACGGAATGGGTTGGGACTACACAGTTTCAAGTACCTTCGTGACACAAAACTTCTTGGCATTTCGTGATCACTTGAAGACTCAGGGGCTTCTTGATGGCCTCGGCCCAAAGGACTTGGAAAATTTGGGGGCGACCACTTGGAGTTTAAAAATAGTCTCAAACAACACAAGTTCATACAGTTACATTAGTGTACCAATGTTGTTTGTGATACTTGATTTTGGTGTGTTTGGCTCCTAGATTACAATTAGGAAAAACTTGAAGTGACATAAAAAAAAAAAAAGGTGATCGCCTGAGGTTGCATTTGATAAACAAAAGAGAAGTGAGATTTCACATTTTCAGTGTATGTGTCTGTTTATGTCTCATCCTTTGGCTTCTGTCCAGCATGGTGAGCCAGGAGAAACAACGTGAGTCGCTCTTCTCACAGTGGTGCCGAACTGCTGTTTATCCACTCCCATTATCCTGTTGTTTATCCCTAGCTGCTCTTGGCTCTGCTGCCGCTCTGCAGCGAAGGGCAGAATTTGCTGGTTGGCTGGTGGGCCAGGAATGAGTTCTGCAGCCAGCTTGCCAAGAAAGGATTGGATCCATGACCTTGGTCTTAAGAGCTCTGCTCACTGATTAGCTGAGTGGGCTGGGAGAGGATTTGTCCTGAGAGCACATCCTCCACTCCAGGCAGCATTTCATAAACTCCAGGCCACTGGACCCGAGAGAGGAGAGTGACTCAGTCACCAAAGGGAGTCGGTAGCAACAGCTATGGAGAAAGTGGAGGCCACGGACATGTTTTCATGCCTTTGCTTTTGGGGGACAGGCTGGCTCTTGTTTTGCACTTACATTATCGTGGCATACATGTTGATCCTTTCCCTGTTTCTCTTCAGTAGTCAGGAGGAAGAATGGACTGACTGCCTGGGCCCAAAGGTGGAAGTTATAAGGTGTGCCACACCTACCTAGGCCCACACTGCTGTTCTCCAGCAGGTAACTTAGATGCTCAAACATGGCCTTCTGGTTTTGCCGGCTAATTCGACAGAAATAGCAAAGGAAGCGACAGCAGCTAGCCACCATTTTGGGGAAGGCGATCTGTGGGCAGAAGCAGGAAGTATTAGAGAGAAGAATCTATCATGAGGCCTTCGTGAACAGTGGAAGCTTAAAGGAGTTTCAGGTTGAAGTCCCACAAGCTACGAACTGTTTGGAACGTGAACTTTTTCCTTACACCTCTTCTCCCTAAGACATTTGTAAGAGGGACAGAATGCCTAAGAATGAGGCTTCCAAAAATCTTGGCAATTAGCTACAGTCCTCAAGATCTTTCCTTCCAAGGGAAACGTCTATCAATTATAACCTGCTTCCCTACATGTCCGACGAAAGTGCATGACTACACGACCATTGTTTCCAGTTGGAGTGAGTAGAGCATTAAAGGGTAATATCAGAAACAGAGTTGGGGGATCATAGAAAAACAATGCCCATTAGTCCATTAAAACTTGGGTCCTCTGGGCCAAGGATGGTCCCCATAGTTAAGAAAGTCTGAAAGGTACCATGCCCTGTTTCTGTGAACATGTCCCAAGTATGTGGCCCCAATCACTGCTCTTCTACAGGTGTCTAAGGCACTTGACACCAGATACATGTAAGCTATTATGGAGGTACAATCCTTCATCACTTGATTTGATAGCCTTCCCAATTACCGAAGCAATTAGCATCTCTATGGCAAGCTCTAGCTTATTGGGATCTTAACAATGCTCAAAAAACAATGTCAGATTCCTAGAAAGATCACAATTTCCCCCTTTAGAATCATGGGAGGAGCTCTAAGAAACAGTTCTGAAATCTGTTGTCACTGAGGCATACAGATGTGCTTAGGGTTCCGTGAAGAAATTTAACTTTTCCAAGATGATGGATTGTGACCCCGAAGTATAAGCCAAATAAACCCTTTTCTACCCTAAATTGCTTTTGGTCAGTATTTTTATCACAGCAACAGAATAAAAAAAGAACACCACTTATTCCTGGGATGGTGGCACCCTAGAATCAGCAACGTTTGAAACCACATTCCATATTTTGCCTCCAGAAGTCATGCAGTCTAGATCAGTCATGGATAAAATGCTTCCTGCGCTAGTGTGAGGACTGAAGTTCTGATCTTCATCACCCTCATAAGCAAGGTGGGAATAGGCTCATCTATAATCCCAACATTCAGGGGGCAGAGACAAGAATCCCCAGAACAAACTGTTTAGGTAGACTATCTGAATTCATGATGTCTGGGTTCAGTGAAAGACCCTGTCTCAGTTGGTAAAGTGGGGAGCAGTCTAGGAAGACAATTTATGCCAACTTCAGGCTTCCATATGTATGTGCATAATTGTGCATGCACATCTACACACGTACATCCACATGCATGTGAGCATGCTCACATATATGTATGTACACTACACATATACATACATGCAAAAACATCTAAAAGAAGCCATTCAATTTAAGTAAGATTTCAGGAAAACTGGTATCAATTCCCGGTTGTACCCTATGCTAGCAGCAACGGTCCCCTTCTTGCATCCTCTTGGAGCTGTAAAAATCTTTTCCTCTTCCCAGGGGAAAACTGAGGCAATAGATACCTGAGCAAGTAGTCCTGCCCTGAGAGTCAAGTTCTGGCTCAGTATAGCATTACCTGTGATTTCTCTGCACCCAGCACGTTCACCATCACCTCCATCACTGTCTCGTGCATGCCGAGGACCCTCATAAGGTTGGGGTGCTGGTAAAACACCTTGTTGTTCATTATGTCCCTAACAGAAAAACGAGAGGCAGAGTTCAGCACCTGCTGCTCTTCTGCTATGAAAATCCACACAAACACGATTTAGGTCGAATAATATAAAAATGATAGGCTGAGAAAAATAATAAGAGGGTACTAGGTCGTGAAATACATATGGAGTGTTTTCGGCTGACATAACCAAGGAGCACCAAATAATTCTAAGTGTTTGATTTTTCTCTTTACAATGTTTATTTCTAATGATATTTAAACAATTCCCCCTTCATCCTTTTTTTCTTATAATAAATTCTAAGACCACTCATACCACTGGATTTTTCTTTCTCTGTGTACCCAAGAACTTCTTTTCTCTGCTGATAGCTGTGCTTCTTTGTATTCAGTTTCTTAATGATAGGACTGCTTATCTTTCTTATAAGAATTTTGTGTTTGATACCATGAAGTTTGTGGAGACCAGTCTTCAAAAGCAATGGTATGAACACGTAACAACCATCACACCTTTAAGCTACTTAACACAAACTCACACAATGAAGCTTAGACAAATGAAAATCTGGAGATAAAACAATTCTCTAAGTTGGGTGGAGAGGGAGGGGCTATTTCTGCAGCTTATTTCCCTCCCATAAAAGTCTCTTCATTTCTATTATAATATTCCTCTTTGCAAATGAATTTGGGGAATCATGCCTGCACACACCCTTTCTTTCCTGATAATCATGCAAACCACTTTCCTGTTCCTTAGTGAGGCTCTGCAGTTTGCCAGCCCCAAGGATGGGGAGGGGAGGAATGTTGCTTTTGATTTTAATCAGGTAACACTGTGGGTTGGCCAGTGAACCTTTCTGGCTCTTGTTTTCTCCTCTATGTTCTGTACTGAAAGGAAATGCCCCTGGCACCAAAATTGCCAGGAATTGTCTTGTCTACATGGTTTGTGAGGCAGATCCATGAGTTGTAAGTTAAGGGATCTCACAGAACTAACAAAATCACTCTACAGTTTAGAACTGGGGAGAAAAGGGCCAGCTGAGAATATCTCAGAAGCCCCAGAAGATGCTCAGCCAGAGGCTGCAGTGCTCAAATCATTTTTCTCTCAGGTTAAATAGGCTGCCCTCTCCTCCAGATGTGTTTCCATGGCTATTTTCACAAGAGTCCCTAAGAATTCCGTTCATTTCTTTTGGTAATGCCCTTTCTGCCTTGCACAACAGGCGGTCTGGTGTCTCATGTTACAGAGGTAGCTCATGTGACAAGGATGTCCCACCACAAGGAGAGAGAGAATTCTCTCTAGAGAACTGCACTTGCTGTGAGTGACCTTACCCTAGCCCGTTGATCATGAGAAGCTCCTCTTCCTTGCCCATCCTGACACTAAGAAGGGACCGGATCTGGCCCAGGGCAGCCAGCAGGTTGATGGTGTCGCTCACGGAGGCCTGGCTGATGGTGTAGGTCTTCCGCAGAGCCTGTAGCAACTCCCCAATGCTGTCATACTGTCTCCGTAGGAGGTTGAACATAATCCTCACCAACTCTGCGTCCTGGATTTGGTTCTCTTGGGCCCAGCGGATCATTGTCTGAGAGACTAGTTCCTTCAGTGTTGCTGAAAAGGGAATCGGAGAAAACACTAACCATGGATGCCCCAGAGCAGAGAAAGTTAGGTGGTACAGAAACATCCCTCAACCGTCAAACGTATCAACAGCTGGCTCAGGTTAAATCTTTTCTTATTTTAAGGTTGAGTCATGGCATGTATAAAAGTAGACTATATCATCAAGACATAAACATGCCACCTATACCATAATAAAAATATCACAATTATATACTAAAAAATGCATTTGACTAATGTTTGGATTCATACTGAAAACTGAATAAAAAGTAAGACTCTGTCCTTGCCTTCAGGGAGCTCATAAGCCAGTTCTTTACATTTTTATTTTGTGATAAAATTTTATTGTTATTGTATGATACAATGCAATAAATGCTACAATGAAGGTACTTGAAAGTGCCATGAGACTGAGTACAGAATAGCTGTCCGGGGTGGGTCAAGGTGTGAAAGTAAAGCATTGGCCCATGCTTCTTTAGAATAAAGCAAACGAAACACTGGTACTTAACATCATTATTACTGTCTCTAAATATATTAGGGATATCCAATGGTGGGGATTAAGTGGAGTTAACAATTCGTGAACAATAAAAGATATTTTAGATGATATGAACATAACATATATTTGGGGAAGAATAGAAGTGGGCAGAGAGGACAGGACCAGATCTGAAGGGTTGGAGGCTGGACATCTGACCATCGTATATGGAAATGGCTTCTTTGAACTGAATCTTTTGCAGAAGTTGACTGCTGCTGCAGCAGGAAATATTTCCATAAGCACGGAAAGAAAGAAACTGCTATGGCATTGAATTTGGGATTTACTGGGGTTCATAGCCAGTTCCACAAGTACAGGGGAAATCAGTTAAAATGAGACCAGCTAAGAGCCTTGTGGTGGATGGACCACATGGGTCCTGATGACTGCTGGCTGTCTTTGCTTTGGGAAGAAATTAAGAGGCAAAAGCTGATCTGAGTAAGTTCAGGAGGTGAAAGGAGACATGCTGGAACAGCTGGTTAGGCAATTCTCACCCCTCCCACTGCATACACAGTTCTAGAAGACTCCACAACAGGGGAAGAGACACTGCTTCAAAACCATAATTGTGTCCAAATCTCACATTGCCACCACACTTCTGGAAGGTAGGAATTGTACCAGAGCCTTTATTCAGGCCAGGTGATAAAACCAGAGCTAAGAGGACAATGAAGGTCATTGAATCCACCAGGGAAAGGTTTAGGAATACATTCAGATGGATGCTTTCTGTAGTCCGTGTCATTTCCAATAGTCAAGTTTTCTACTCCACATCACTATACATAGCAGATGTCTGCTCCCCATACGCTCTTGGCTCTACCATAGGCTATAAAAATAGAACTTAGTCACCAAAGCTCTAAAAGATCTAGATGTAAAGGATTAATTTAGCTTACTGCTGTGTCTATCAACCCTGTGGGTGTTTCAGGTTCAGGCAGGAGACATAAGCTGAAACAATTAAAAAAAAAAAGAATACACAGGCTAGAGAGAAGCGCAGTTAAAAGAACTTGCTGACCCTATACTTAAGGCTCAGGGAATGTCACAGAAGAGGTGATGGAAAGATCGTAAGAGCCAGAGGTTCAGGGTGCCTATTGCTAGTGTCCCCTTGGCATGACAGGGAAAATATAACCATGAAATACCAACAATATGGCTGTCTAGACAAGACCAGCATAATCACAACACCAGTTGACATGCCAGTGTTGACAAAGGAAATCCCACATGGTCCCATCCTTAGATGAAGAGCTTCAGCTAGTCAATGCCTGCCAGGAAAGAGAGAATTAGTTTTCTCCAGAAATGAATTCCTGCATAGGATGTCCAACCTCAAGTGGTCATATACATGTATATATAAGCAACAAGTACATAAGAACGACATCAAATGGACTTAGTAGGTTGCATATATGTCTCTCTCTCTGTGGTGTGTATGTAAAGTAATAAAGAAGTGACCATGAATTTTGGAGAGAGGGGCTAGGAAAAGTTTGAGGTGGGAGAGAGAGTGTGAGTGATGTAGATAGGTGTTCATGTATGAAGTTCTCAAAAACTTAAAAAATCTTTCTTAAGAGGGACTTAATTCTTGTTAACATCTGCACCTTCTGGGGGACAAGTTATTAATGGGCTGTGTTGGGCTTTTCTCAACAATTTCCCTATTGAATCATTAGCAAAGGGGTTCTACAGGGTCCCCCAAGCATCACCGACTATTAGCAAGGCTGTTAGTTATTCTGTAACACAATGGGAAGAGCCTGTTGCTGAAGACACAACATCCTTATGTCACCAACCATGGAAAACTCAAGCTAGAGTCTAACTAGAACTTTTACTCCTACTGACTAGCATTCATGGCACTGGAATGTACTTTGCACCCTACCAGAGGAGAAAAGTAATCATCAATATCACTCAGATACAAACCCCAAGACCTACAATACTGCAAAATCCTCGTGCAAAAGTGACACAAATGTTGTGTGAATAGTCACTTTTTAAATGGATTTAAGGCCCACTCTATGAGATGGACCCCATACCTGACCTGAGTTCGAGGCCAGCCTGGTCTACAGAGCGAGATCCAGTACAGGCACCAAAATTACACAGAGAAACTCTGTCTTGAAAAACAAAATAAACAAAAAAAGAGTCCATGAACCTTACACTAGATAAGTCTTGGGCCTAGAGGAAAGCCTACTACTACTATTCTGCTAAAGGAATGTAGCAATGAAATGACTCCCAATGACATAGTGCTACACCCACAGATCAGTGCCTTGCTCAAGCTTCATCAGAGAAGCTTCTTCTTGCAGTAGATAGGATAACAAAGAGATCCACGCTGGAAAATGCACAGTGTGTGAAAGACTTTGGAGCATTCAGCCCTAAGTGGATTTTTTTTTTACATCAAGCCCCCCACTCAAGGCTCAAAGATCTTCATGGAAGAGGAGAAAGAAATGTTTTCAGAGCCAGAGGCAACAGATGACTCAAAGAAAACAGCATCTTCCATACACAACAGGGCTGATATACACATAAACTCACAGAGACTGTAACAGCACTCATAAGACCTGCACAGGTTCAAACCAGATAAAACCCCAGCACTGAGAAGGGGAAATGGACACAAAGTACTACCCATAACCAAGAAACGCTCTACAGTTAATACCTCTGGGAAAGGGAAAATCAGTTTTCCTCAATAGAGTGCCACGTGAAATATCAACCACATTCCAGGGCAGGCCCTATGCTCAGAGTAGTCAGTCAATAAAAAATGGACTTCATGCTTTCTTTTATGTATGTTTTTTATTGTGCTATTTTTTGTCTTACTGATTTTCTTTCTTCAGCTGTTTGCCTGTTTTGGTTTTCATTTTTTGCTTTTTGTTGTTTTCCTTTGTTTGAGAGAAAGGAAGAATGTGAAGTTGGGTAGGTAGGGAAGTGGGGAAGATCTGGAAGGAGTTAAGGGAGGGAAAAGAACATGACAAAAATATATTGCATAAAAGTATTTTAAAAATTAAAATTAAAAAACTGAAACTGTTCCCAGGTGCATCTATTCTTATTTCTCCTAGTTAAGGTAGTAAGAACAAAGGAAATATACAAAAATACAGAAACTCTTGCACCTGATACAAGTTGTATAGTCCTATAAATACTACTTCCTTTAAAGCACACATTCTGGCATGAAACAACTGTAGTTCTCACCATAAATGACCAGATCCTCCACAGAAATAACATGCAGCATCAAAGTCCTTGCCACATGGGAGAGGCTATGATTAGGTAGAATCACTCATCATCTCAAGACTACTTCTTTTACAATAGGAAATTTGCAGAATTGCATGAAACCAAATAAATATTAGCATTCCCTTAACCTGGCTTTGTCTCTGAGTTATTGGTCAGGGAGTCCAAGAGACTTCCCAAACTATACAGGCTATATATAGGACACACACACATACACACACACACCCAGAGAGAGAGAGAGAGAGAGAGAGAGAGAGAGAGAGAGAGAGAGAGAGAGAAATTGTCTTTGGTTCTTTCCCAGAACTTGAAGGTAGACCTTAGTGGTGAAGATACCGCATACTTTGGACACGGGAACTGGAGGAATGGAGCTCAAGCTGACCTGGAAGCCTGCTCCCTGAAGACTAGTTCTCATATTACTAGAAGGTGCTATGCAAGCTGCCAAGGGATAAAAGCAATCATTAGTCCTACTTATCTGTAAAGCCTATGATCCACAACAATGACCAGTGTGACAAGAAATCCCACAGGGTGCAATAATGGCACTTATATTTTAGGGGTAACCAACAGCCATGTAATTGGACTTCAGATCCCTCAATAGAAAGGAATTTATACTTGGTACTATAAACAAAGCCAATTACTCATTGCTGGAGAGGTCATGGACTCTAGAGGAAAACTTACTATTGCCACTTTCCTAAACAGTGTAATTTCCAAATACAGCCTAAATATTTATCTTTATTCCTACAGATAAATGTTACTCATTCCCTTCATCAAAGAACATTCTTCTTGTAGCAGATGAACACCATCACAGAAGTCTACAATTGGTCATGATGCAGAGAACTCTGTGGGATGCCCAGCCCTAACTGATATATCTACAACACAACCTCTACACCTAAGTCCCAGGGGGATATAACAGAAGAGGGAGCAGAAAGATTGTGATCAAGTAATAAAATATATATTAAAAACATGTTTTCTATAATGTGTTAGGTCTTCTGTATATCTGAACATATGAAAATTAAAATAATCAGTGCATAAACAATGCTGGGAACATACTTATAAACATTAACTATTAATACTATAAATAATGGTAGTTCTGAAAGTTTAAACTACAAATTAGGGAGCTCAGAATTCTTTAGGCAGTTTGGAAAGTCATAACAATTCAAAGATTTATTTGCTGTTTCAATTATATTTACCTTGGCACTGATGGTAGAGAAGAAATGATAGGCAAAAGTGTGGGTGCATGAAAACAAAGCAGTCAGCAAGACTCAACCGTATTCCTTATCATCACCTGCCTGGGAAAACAGCCAAT